GGGGGGGGGGACATTGCTTCATTCTTCATTAAGAGTATAAAAGACAATTTGGTGCCAAATTAGACCATTTTTGCAAGGTTATCAAATTTAGACATTTTTCAATTGACAAGCATGTAATTGACCATTTTTAAAAATTCCCCATATGCTTTTCTAATTGTCTGGTCAATTTTTGAAAATTCCCCATATGCTTTTCTAATCACCAATGCTGAATGTACAGAAGAGGGTCCAGATGAGACACATGGGAGTGAGCTCATGTAATTAAAATATTATCAAAAAAATCCCACCCACCCTACATCTTGTATCTGATCTGGTGTCTCTGTGAACTCCACCATGTACATGTATCATCTCTCTTTTCTAATTGTCAGTTTTGACCAACATCCTGATCCGAGGATGCGCGAACATCTATTTGTAGGTTTCCAATGTGTTTCAAACTACAGAAATAATTGGATATGGAATATTCAAAATGGACAGTTAACTTTGATAAGCCCTTGTTTGAGCTCCATTTGCGTGAAAAAAAATGATAATTAAAAAAAAAAAATCTATTTTTGAATAGTGTATTGATGGAAATTGTATAATTAAAAAATAAGAAAAAAAAGATTTGCGTGTATTGATGGAAACTGTATAATTAAAAAATAAGAAAAAAAAGATTTGCGTGTAATATTATTTTATTTAAAAATGTGTGGTTGAAATGATATAAAAATATTGTTTAATAATGTATTTTTTTTCCCAAAAAATGGAGCTCAAACAAGTGCTAAATGGTCAACGGAAAAAAACTGTTTGGTTTATTGGTTATGCTACTGGTATAGAGGCATGGCGTCCTTCCACTTCTCTTTGACATAGATGCATTGATATAGTTGTAAGATCAAAGCACACTACAGGTAAACTTTTATATTATTGACATCATAATATAAAAAAGTTCAAAGTACTTGTATCTTCCTATCTAAATCGATTTCAGCTAGATTAACAATCAGCAAGGAAAAAAAAATATCTGTATGTTAAGAGGTTCTCAAAGAGCTAAGAGAGCACTACTATCGGTACTGCACTATCTGCCCTTCGTACTGGGGGATGTCGTAATCCTCCCTGGCGGTGTCATGAGGATGTCAGTGTCGTGCCAATCTATATAGCCACGATGATTATAGCTTTTTTCCTTAAGAGCGCTTAAAGACTAATTTCTAAGAGAGTTCCCGAGTTAAAACTTTGAGGGAGAAGTTTGGAATGCCCTTGGTTGAGAGAATATCTCTATGCTCAAATGCAGCCATCTGACTTTGTGTATTTTATGTATATTTTGTTTGATAAGATAATCTATCCTCTTCTTCGACCACCAGTAGAGGTCTAATTTAATCGAATAAAACCTCGTGGAATCTAAGAGAATGTGTGACGGTCACCCGGCCGCTGAAACTAAACTGTTCTATGGTGGACGCAGTTATACACCACTTGAAATTCATTAACAATTTTTTTATTTACCTCTTTGTTTTAACAAATGGTACATACAATAATAAGGACTAAAATGAAAGGGAAAAAGGTTCAAGGATCGAAACAATTATTATGAAATTCTTAGTTTTGGAATACAAATGACATTTCCCAATTTGAATAAGAAATTTCACTTTCAACTTTAATTATTCTCAACTACAACTCTAAACCAATTATCTTCAACATATCATTTAGCATTACCCAATTCGACATAAATTGTCTATTTTTCCTTTTGGTCAAATGGTATCCTTCCATTTATATACCAATATGCTTGGTTCAATTTAAAAATTAATTTAAAGTTTAAATCAACATCAATAAATTATCCTATCTACACATTTCATACAACTAAGACTGTTCAATCACACATTTCATCAAATTTTATTAAAATCTACTAAAATTCTGATTTTTATTTAAATCAATCTGTTATCTTTCATTCTCAATTTCTTTCTTTTTTTCATTTTTCAATTTTTTTCTTTCCAAGTAAAAAAAATTGAGAACTATAGATAACATTACATTAGCCATTTTACCCCACTTAACCGTCATTTTTTGCAAACTATTTTTTCTACGTTCTTATTTTAAATCACACATTTACATAATAAAATATTTTGTATGCAAATCTAAAACTTATCTTAGTTTTTAATCACACATTCTACTAAAAATTATTATTCAAAACCCTATTTTTCCAAATAATAGTTATCAAACGCATACTGAATATCCCATTCCATTCCAATAAACCCAAAACCAGGGAGTTTTTATCACAAATAATCAAAGCAAAATACAAATGATCTCCCAATTCTGCTCAATTAGAAAATAAAGACCCATCAATTTCAATCTTAACCACCTCTCCATCATCATATACCACCTCTCCATCATCATATCTATCTTTCCTCGGCAGCGCTGGCGGTACCGGAACCCTCGGTGGTCCTCTTCCCTTATTCTTGTTCCTTGGCCTCGCCTATGTTATAATTTTCACATTAAAAAAAAATAATTCAAAATGCTCAATGGGTACCTGGAAAAATTGGGAAAATCAATTTGAAAAGCTCACGTTGCCAAAGGAGTGATTGAAACGCTTGCCCCTAGCAGTCTTTTTGTCCCCTCTGCCACAATATACTGCAAGCCTAGAATTAAATTACCATTATTACCTTCACATATACATTCATATGCATATATAAAAAGTGTGTGAAATCGGCTTACTTAAAGGGAAGTTGAGAATGAAACAGTGAATAAGGACTGGGATTTGGATAAAGAGAGAGTGATAGATTGCGAGGCCATAGACATAGCATCCATGGGTGGTGATCCGAGTACAAGAGAAGCCATTGGAATTGAATTGAAGAACGGGAATACAGAATTTGTGGCCTCTTTTGGAGGGGAAATACATGAAAATAATCTTTTCAAAATGGTTACTTTTCCAAAATGAGCAATTTACATACCAAAAATGCCCTCCATTTAAATATTGTAACAAGGAATCATAGTATAGAAATTTTCTATTTTAGTCCTTAAATTTAAATATTGGTTGAAATTTGATAATTTTTATTTGATTTTTTTATTTATATTTTATTTGATTTAATTGATTTTTGTTCGCTCTAAGTAGTCCCCTTAATTGGTATCAGAGCCATAGAGATTATGAAAATTAAATTAAGAAAAATAGATAATTATTGGTGTTTAGAAGAAGAAAAATGTAGTTATATATTTTTAAAACCTATTCATAATAAATTAAAAATAATAATTTTGACAACAATTAAAGAACTTCCTAAAGAAATAAAGGAACAAATATTAGAAAAATTAACAATAGAAAAAATAAAAGATATTTATACATATGAAAAAATTATTAATATATATGAAGATGAAGAAAATAATTTATATTATAAAAAAAATATGAGTACAATTGATAATACTCATCAAAAACTAAATAAATTGCTTTTAAAAATGGATAAAATACAAGAAGAAATAAGAAATATAATGTTAATACCAGAAGGAATGAGAATACCAAATAATAGACAGTTAATAAAACTAAAATATGAAAGACTAAGAATATAGTTAAAGAAGAATTAGTAGATCCAGAAACAGTTGAGAGAAGATTTAGAAAAATAATAGATAAGAGAGAAGATAAAACATGCAAATTAACTTATGAGTTAGAAATAAGAAAAAATTAAGATATCAATAAGTGAATATATGGAAGAATTAAAATTATTAATAAAAATGTTAATAAATGATGTACAAGATTTGAGAAATGAAGTAAAAGAAACAATAAATGATATAAATATATTAAAAATTGAAATTAGAGAATTAAAAGAAAATAAGAATAAGGATAAGAAAATAGATAAAAAAAACTTATAGAAAGAGAAACGACTCGAATAGGAAAGAAACATATAGATAAAGAAAATATAGTAATAGAAACAGGGAGCATGGATGATGAATTTAGAAAAAATATATTACCAGAGATATTAGAAGAGGAAGAAGAATTTAGAAAAAAAAATCATTAGGAAAATTAAAAATAGAAGAAAAAGAAGATAAAAATGAATGAAGAGTTAGATTTGTTAATAGAAAATTTTGATCAATTAAGCTTAACTGATATAAGTGAATACCAAATTTTAATGAATACTGGAGGAGAACCTAATCCAGCACGAACCTCTAAACAAAAATTACATAACACAGATGAAAACTATGCACCTATATATAATAAATCATATAGACAATTCTATAATAAAGTAAGAGATAGACAACACCTAAAGGAAATAAATATAAAGATAGGTTTGAATTATATGATAATTATGATAAATCAATTAATCATGGAGGAACAAAACTAGATTTAAATTGTAAAATAGATACTAAAAAAGCCTTATTAATTTGGGCAGATTCAATGATATTATTCTTTTTATATAATAAAGATGACACATGGAAAAGTACTGAAAGGAGAATAGATTTCTTAATAGCATCATTTGAAGGAGATGTTAGAAATTGGTGGGAAGGAATAAGCAATTATACAAAAACATAAATAAAAAGAAATGTACAAACCGAAATAATAAAATCAGATAAACAAGGTATAGAAAAATTAGTAGAATATGTTTCAGATGAATTTTTAGGAGAAAATTGGATAAGAAATGCTGAAAAAGAATCAATAAGAGAAAAAGATAGTGTTAGAATAAAATTAATAAACTTAACAATACGTGATATGTGTAAAATTAAGGAATATGCTTGTGAATTTAAAAATTACTATTATATTCAATTTTATAGTAACGAAAATCAAAAAGTATACCAAGACATGTATTATAATAAGTATACCAAGACATGTATTTTAAAATAGAATTTGAAAAATATGTTAGAGATAATACTGAAATACCTAAAACTTTAGGTTTAAAAATAAAATTTTTATTTGAAAGACTTGCATATATATGTCAACAAAAATAATTAATGAAAAAATCAGGAAAATTAACTAAAATATGTTGTGAAGATATGAAAATCCATGTGCAATGGGGATGTAATCCTGAAAGAAGAGTTAATAAAAGAAAGTTTAAAAATAAAAAGTTTAAAAATTTTAGAAATTTTAATAAAAAATATATAAAATCTAGAAGAATGTATTATAAAAGAAAAAATAACCAATATAATCAATAGAAAAATAAGAATTATAAGAAAAGTAAAAGTCAATGTAAATGTTGAAATTGTAAAGAAATATGTCATATAATTCCTGATTGTAATAAAAAGAAAGTTAGAATATTACAAAAAGAATATTTAGAAATAAAAGATGAATTAAGTGAAATATCAGATATTGAATAATACTATGACCAAGAAGTATATATAAGTGAAACAGAAGACGATGAATCACGATCTGAATAAAGAGATTGAAGAAATAGAAAGTAATAATATAAATATACAAGAATATGAAGGAATAGAAGGATATGGATTAAAAGTTACTTTTGATAATAATAAATTTAGAAAATTACAAAAATTATCTTTAGACTTAAAAATAGGAAAATGAGAAGTCTTTGATAGAATTTGGAAAAGATAAAGAATAGTAATAAATGAATATAATAAAATAGAACAACTTATGGACAATATAAATTAAATCTTTTAACAAAAAATACAGTCGACAGACTATTAACAAAAATTAGTAAAAAACAAAGTGAAAAAATCCAATATGTTTATTTAGCAGGAATACAAATAATGTTTGAATCACTATTTAGAGAAGGGATAGATTTACCCTTAACTATAACTCTACATGATGGAAGAATAATAAACTTAAAAGATAGTCATTTAGAAACAATAGAAGGAAATTTAGCATATCAAAAAATTATGTTTACATGTTATTCAAAATATTGTGTATCATTGAATGATATAAATTTTAATGAAATTTTAGGACTACATTTCAAGTTTCATAGAGATGATATTATGCAACCAGGTGATCAAATTATGACTATAGAATATAGAGCTTTATACACATTTACCAATTCTAATTATAGGAATATTTATTCCAATAAATCATATATTGAAATTCATAAAGAATGTAAAGATATTAGTAAAATAATAGAACCAAATAAACAAATAAGTTTAATTCCAGAAAAATATAAATTTAATATAGCAAAAAATAAACCTGAAATAACAAAATTAAATGAAGGAGAATGTTCTAATAACATAACATTTAAGGATGAAAAATTAATTAAAAGATAAAAAAGTTTTAAAATACCTAATAAAAACCAATTAGAAGAAATCAACAAAATGAAAGAAGTAAAACTATATAAGAATACTGGAAATATGAAAATAGAAGGAGAATATTAGAATGGTAGAGAAAGTATAAATGGACCAAATAAATTAATTGATACAGGAGCTAGTGAATGTCATATAGTTTCGATTAGAAACAAAGGACTAATAACTCATAAAACTGAACCATATAAGTATGTAATTTTTGATGAATAAGTACATATAACAGATTTAGAAGTTAAGGTACCAATAAAAATAGGAGAAATATATCTTTTAGTACCATGTTATATAGATAAAAGTATGGATATAAATCCCCATATACTTTTAGAAATGAGTTTTCTAAATAGATTAGAAGACTATAGTATAAAAAGAGAAAGATTAGATATTGTTCATAATGGACAAGCCACATTATGCAAAAAGAATTAGATGAATAATCAGATAAATTTTTCATTAGCTGTGTACATACAAATTACTATTGTAGAAAAAAATATAATAAATTGTGCTTTAATAGATACAGGAAGTGATATAACAATATTTAAATTTTTTTTAATTAAATCATGAAATAATAATAGTAATATAAAAATAACTAGTATTACAGGAGAAAGTACTCAAATAATTAATAGTGCTGATAAAGTTAATATAATTCTTGAAAGTAAACAAGTAACAATAAATAAAATTTATAAATATGATAAATTAGAATGTGATATTTTATTAGGAAATGATTTCATACAAAAATTTCAATATTATAAACAAAATAATTATATGATAATGTTACAAACACCTTGTGGACACTTATTAAATTTTTTTAGAGAATTTAAACCTTATAATGTTCAACTAGCCCAACGTGGTGATAAATGAGAGAAAAATTCAATTCTTAATAATGAAATAAACAATAAAAGAATATTATATAAAAATGCTCTAAAAATAGGAATAGAAATGAATATAGAAAAAATCATTGAACAATTAAAAAAGGCTTATGGAGAAAATTCATTATTATTTTGGAAACCATATCACCCAAAAGCTAAAATATAATTAACAGAAAATATTATAATAAGAATAAGACCAATGATGTATACTGTAAAAGATACACAAGAATTTAAAAATCAGATAAAAGAATTGCAAGAACAAAAACTTATTAGACCTTCTAATAAACCTCCTAGTAGTCCAACTTTTATGGTTATAAAACACTCTGAACAAGTTAGAGGAAAAGTTAGAATGGTTATAAATTATAAAGAATTAAACAAATATACTAAATTTGATGATTACTTTCTACCAAATAAAGAAGTACTAATAAATCTTGTAAGAGGAAAATAATATTATTCTAAATTTGATTGTAAATCAGGATTTTGACAAGTAAAAATGGAAGAAAATAGTATACAATATACTGCATTTAGCACACCTCAAGGAAAATATGAATGGTTAGTTATGTCATTTGATTTGAAAAATGCACCACAAATATATCAAAGAAAGATGGATAATACATTTAAAAAGTATAATGAATTTCTAATTGTTTATATTGATGATATATTAATATATTTTAATAGTAAAGAAGAGCATAAAAATCATTTAATCCAATTTATTAATGAATGTAAAAAAGAATGAATTGTACTATCTAAAAATAAATCTATAATAGAAAAATAAGAAATAGACTTTCTTGGATTATCAATAGATAAGAGAGTG